TGATTAAAAAAACTGATAGAAACAGATCAAATGTGTTAAAACAGGTTATAAAAGAATGAAAAAGAAGAGAAAAACAAACTTACGTATGAAATTAAGGGAAAGTTTTGCCAAGAATTAAATAAATGCCAGATTACACTAACAGAGGTCAGTGTTACTAGAATCACAACACACAACTTTCTATGTGCATTTCCTGTTCTTGAGATTTCAAAGCTTTTAACTGTTTACTGCATTTGTTCAGTCTGTCAGTGTATATCAGAAACACTTTACATTAAGTTTTGTTTTTTGAAAAGTTGACTACAACTGATGGAACACAGAGATAAGAGTGAATTGTTCATTGTTGGTCATGCGTGTATTTTCTGCACTCATTACTAGAAAATTCTGCACATGACTGGTCACCTGTGCAAAACTGAGGTTTAGGCACAGTTTTTCAGATTTGCCATCACTTTTTCACGGTACACTTTAACTTGGTAAAAAGCCTTACCTTTGTTTTCAGTAATTCTGCTCTCTATTCCGAATATTTAAAATATCATTAAATAAATGATATTAAATATTTCCTCTCTATTAATACAGATGTTTTGATAGAGTGCATAAAAATGTTATGCATCATGTTGGCCAAACATTTAGCCAGATTTCCAGTGCTGGATGTAAAAATGTCAATTTTTTATAACACGATCAGTCTCTAAATGGAAAGATAAGAGCATGCATAAGCACAAATCAATCCAAGAAATGTTTTATGTTACTTTACCTTAAATAAAAACATAATTAAAAATGCATCAATTTTTTTTCATGTGTAATGTAAGTTGAAATTACTTGTAAAGTTAATTTGATTTATTTTGCAGCAACTTGCAGGTTTATAATTATATTTACATTGTTGGTATTGATGATAATACTCAATCTAAACTACAATACATTAGTAATTAGTATATTAATTAGTCTTTCTTAAACTCAAATGAATGACAGTTACATTTATGTTATGGTATTCTTGTAGGCAGGGAAATTGTACATATAAATATGCTGTTAAAATTAATTGTGCGTTCCCTGTACTGTCAGGGTTATGATATGAGTTTGGTTTAGGGTTATTTCACGAAAATATGCACAATTTACTTTTATAACCACAGTACGTTCATATGATGTAACTTGAAACAATGCCATTCTAAGATAAAGCGATCTTAAAACATTTATCACATTATTGTTCATCATGTCTTTTATTTTCCACATGACACCAAAAAAAACATCAACAAAGTGACCTTTATTGACATCTTAATTAATATGAAACAAAAAGATTGTTTTAAAATTGATTTAGCTTAAACATTTACATTGATGGCATTGTTAAAATAAAAAATGATCAATTATTAAAATAAAAAAATATATTATATATAAATATAAAATATATAAATATATTTTCCTCCTTTTGAGTTCTTTGTTGAGTTTGTTTGTCGACAAGCAAGAACCAGAAACGATCCTAGTTTTGCATTTGCTTCATCCAGCAGTCTGAGCAGCTCAAAAGCCGATGGAGCTGCCAGGATAAGTAGCAGAGCTTCTGTCTTTGTCAAAAAAACAGAAATAAAGGCTGCACAATCAAACCAGGAAGGAACGCTGGAAAATAATGTAGAACCAAACAAGGTCTGCACCATGCACAATAAGCCTCATCCACTCCATAAGTGTCGAACATTCAGGAGCAAACATCTGGATGAACGAAAAGCACACTTGAAGGAAAAGTCCATTTGTTTTAAATGTTGTGGTTCCACCAAGCATGTTGCAAAAGACTGTATAGCATTGATCAGGTGCCGGGAATGCAATAGTGATCGACATGTGGCGGCCATGCATCCTGGACCTGCACCATGGTCTGTTACTACATGGTCTATTGAGACACCCGAGTCAAAGACAGAACAAATCAAAGAAAAAACAGATGAGGACACAGCTGAGGTCACCAACAAGTGCACAGAGATTTGCGGAGATGTTGATAAGCCTAAATCATGTTCAAAGATCTGTGTCGTGAAAGTTTATCCATCTAATCAGTGTGAAAAGGCCAAGCGCATTTATGCTGTACTAGATGAGCAGAGTAATAGATCTTTGGTGAAGTCACAGTTCTTTGATCTGTTCAACATCGATAGTAGTTCTTCCCCGTACACATTGAAGACGTGTTCAGGCATAGTGTCTACGGCGGGGAGGAAAATAACTGGATTTTCTGTTGAATCACTTGATGGAAAAACAATAGTTGCACTTCCACCCTTGATAGAATGCGACAGCTTACCAGACGATAGATCTAAAATTCCTTCGCCTGAGGTAGCTGTACATTTTCCCCACCTCACTGTGGTGTCAGATAAAATCCCACCTTTAGATCCTAACGCTCCTATCCTTCTCCTCTTAGGACGTGATGTTCTTAGTGTGCACAAAGTGCGTGAACAATGAAATGGACCCCATAACACACCATATGCACAGCGCTTAGACCTAGGCTGGGTAATAGTGGGAGAAGTTTGTCTTGATGGCATTCATCGTCAATCAAGTGTGAACGCTTATAAGACCAACATACTTCTCAATGGACGAACTTCATACTTCCCTTCATGCACAAAGGGCATCAACGTCGTGGAAAAAGCTCAGTCACCTCTCTTGTCATACATTCCCAACCCACCATGTTCTCTCAAATCTAACGAGAGCATTTCAATGAATTTAAAGGAGGGTGTGTAAAACCACTCTATCTGTGGAGGATAAAGTCTTTCTAGAAATGATGGATAAAGAGGTGTACCTTGATGAGGATAGACACTGGGTGGCGCCACTTCCATTCTGCTCCCCAAGGATTCAGCTCCCAAATAATAGAGAGCAAGCTATGCAGAGGCTAAGCTCTTTACAGCGCACTCTCTCAAAGAAACCAAAAATGAAAACGCATTTCTTTGACTTCATGCAGAAGGTGATCGAGCATAAACAAGCATAACTGGCTCCACCCTTACATTCGGAGGAGGATTGTTGGTATTTGCTGATTTTCGGTGTTTACCACCCACACAAACCTGACAAAATAAGAGTGGTTTTCGATTCAAGTGCCTAGTTCAGGGGAGTTTCCCTAAATGATGTTTTGCTGAGCGGTCCTGACTTCAACAACACTCTCTTGGGTGTACTGTTGCGCTTTCGCAGGGAGAAAATAGCTGTGATGGCAGACATAGAACAAATGTTCTATTGCTTCAAAGTAAAAGAGCCGCATCACAACTATCTTCGCTTCCTTTGGCACAAAGACAACTGCCCAGAAAAGGAGATAATTGATTACAGAATGACTGTACACGTCTTTGCCAATAGTCTGTCACCTGCAGTCGCAATATCTGCCCTGAGACAAGCAGCAGAACACGGCAAAGTGGAGTGCGGAACAGATGCGAAGAACTTTGTCTTGCGCAACTTCTATGTGGACGATGGTATCACGTCTGTTCCAACTGAAAGGGAAGCCATTGATCTCTTAAAACGCACACAGACAATGCTATCTAAGTCAAGCTTGAACCTGCATAAAGTGGCCTCCAACAGTGCTTCGGTGATGGAAGCATTTCTTTCTAGTGAAAGAGCCAAAGATCTCAAAGACCTAGATTTCAGTAAAGATACAATACCTCTTCAACGCAGCCTTGGTATCAGTTGGAACCTCAAGACAGATTGCTTTATGTTTAAAGCTTCTCAAGAATGCAAACCCTTCACCAGAAGAGGGATCCTTTCCACTGTCAGTAGTTTATATGATCCCCTCGGGTTCGTCTGTCCAATCACTATGCAAGGCAAAGCTCTAGTGAGGGAACTTTCAACAATCCAACAGGATTGGGACACCATTCTTCCATTGGAAAAGGAAAGTTCATGGAAGGCCTGGATTTCATCTTTAGCAGAGCTTGACCAACTGCAAATACCTCGAGCTTATGTTCCAACCTCAGTGTGCAGAGCTCCACTTTGTGAGCTGTGCATTTTCTCGGATGCTTCTACTTTAGCTGTTGCTGCGGTAGCATATCTTCGAGTGATTGACTCAAATGGACAGCCTCATGTGGGGTTTGTGATGGGAAGATCCAAGTTAGCCCCCTTTCCAGCACATACTGTTCCACGCCTCGAGTTATGCGCTGCAGTGCTAGCTGTGGAGTTGATGGAATTCATAAAAGGAGAAATTGACCTGGAGCTTTATGACATCCACTTTTATACAGATAGCCGCATAGTGCTCGGATACATTCACAATGTCACACGCAGATTCTTTATGTATGTGGCTAACAGAGTTGCACGCATAAGGAAAGCCACAGAACCTAATCAGTGGCACTACATCTGTTCCGAACAGAATCCAGCGGACCATGCCACTAGGTTCGTGCCAGCAGCCAACTTACCTCTAACCAGATGGTATTCAGGTCCAGAGTTCCTTAGGAAATGTGGTCCTGTGAGATGTAATGTGGATGAATCCTATGGACTTGTTCAAGTAGAAGAGGATGTTGAAATTCGCCCTCAAATGAAAGTTCTGGCAACGAGCATTACTGAACAGTCTCTAGACTCAAGCAGATTCCAACGTTTCTCGAGATGGAAGTCTCTGGTGAGAGCTGTCACAACTCTTACTCACATCACAAAATCCTTCTCACAATCTTCACCTAACAGTCCTTGTCGAAAGTGGCATTTGTGTACAAAGACCTCAGATGTTGAGACCTCACAAGCTAAGTCGACCATAATTAAAACTGTACAGCGAGAAGTGTTCCGAGAAGAATTTAAGGGTCTGACCAAGAATGGTAAAATCTCACAATGTAGCACACTCCTAAGACTCGACCCCTTTGTGGACAAAGAAGGTCTGTTAAGAGTCGGGGGTCGCATTCAGTGCGCTGACATCTCAGATCCAGAGAAACATCCCTTGATACTTCCATCTAGCCACCATGTGACTGATCTTTTAATTCAGCATTATTGGCTCACCAAGGACGGCATTTTACGTAGGGCGCTATACGTAGTGCTGGATTGTGGATTGTCAGCGGCAAAAGACGCATTTCAAATATCATCCACAAATGTGTCCTATGCAAAAAGCTAAGAGGTAAAATGGAAAGTCAGAAGATGTCGGCTCTACCCCCAGACCGGCTTTCTGTAGATCCACCTTTCACATACACAGGTCTTGATGTTTTTGGACCTTTCACTGTGGTGACACGCAAAACAAGAGGGCACAACATTGAGAACAAGCGATGGGCTGTCATATTCAGTTGCTTGAGTAGTAGAGCAGTTCACTTGGAAGTTATGGAATCTTTATCAGCGTCAAGCTTTATTTGTGCTTTGAGACATTTTTTGGCTGTGAGAGGGCCAGTAAAGCACTTTCGATCAGACAGAGGGACGAATTTTGTTGGAGCAGGGAAAGAACTCCAAATCGACAGTGGCGACTCTGAGCTAAAAGGGTTCTTGCAGAATCAAAGCTGCACTTGGACATTCAATGCTCCACACTCCTCTCATATGGGGGGTGTGTGGGAAAGAATGATCGGGATAGCCAGACGTATTCTGGAAGCGCTCTTAGTAAAATCTGCTACAAGACTCACACATGAAGTCTTAACAACCTTAATGGCAGAAGTCATGGCCATTATGAATTCCCGACCTTTAACCCCAATTTCTACAGATGCAAGTATGCCTCAAATGCTCTCACCAGCAATGCTCTTAACTCAGAAAGCAAGTGTTGCCCCAACTCCACCAGGAAACTTTGAGTTAGGACACTTGCACAAAAGTCAGTGGCGTCAAGTCCAGATGTTAGCAGATTCATTCTGGAAGCGATGGAAGCAGGAGTACTTGTCCACCTTGCAATCCAGAAGAAAATGGACTGAGGAGAGAGATAACATTCAGGAAGGAGACGTTGTTCTGTTAAAGGATGGGGAAGCTAAGCGCAGTGAGTGGCCAATTGGCCTCGTAACAAAAACCGTAGCCTCATCTGATGGAAAAGTCCGAAAGGTTATGGTAAAGACTGCTAAGCAAGGGGCTGTCAGGGAGTACTTATGGCCTATATGTGACGTAGCTTTACTTTTATCTAGTGATTAAAAGCATAGTGGTATATGCAATACACCAGGCGGGGAGTGTACTGTATGGTGTTGATTCGTTTGGTAAGCTGTGCATTGATTTATTTAAGTGGTGTAATTGTGAAAATGTCATTGTGCCATTCTTTAGAACAACCGGATATTTAAAAAGTCATAGAAGAAGAGACTGTGATCGCCATGCAGAGACGCGTTGTTGTTTGCTTTTAGCCCTTGTGATAGAAACGACTGTAAGTTACTAATTTTATTTTGAAAACATCTGCAATACTTCCTTTGGGTTAAATTGATTAAGGAGGGTCAGTGTTGAAATGTTTAATGCTTGATGTTCTGTTTAAATGCTAACAAGCTTGCATATAGATGCACGTCATTAAAGTGCCTGGATTGTTTATTTAGCTGTTTGATATCAGTTTAAATATGTCAGTTTATGTTTACAAATGTGAAAGATGTATATTATTTGTGATATTTCGTAATCACTTTGTAATTTTTACCTTTTGTATTTTTCCTTTTTAGTTTTACAAGCAAATCAAGTAAAGGTGCTTCACATTCGCAAGAAGAAAGTGTGATGGTGCTTTATTTCTGTTAACTATCTGTCAGCTTTGGTTTTGAACACCATTGCCAGGGCAAAATATTCAGAATAGTCTAAAAATGCTTTCTTTTTGTGCTAATTTTTTTTGTCATGATTAAATAAATATTTAATGTTATAAATATTGAATGATAGTAATGAATTTAAAAGATCTGTTTTGTGGCTTCTGTACAGTGTTGCGCATATCTTTAATAAAGGGCACTGTCTTTCTGCTGACTTGCAAACATATCAGCACGGGAAATCTTCGACTATCCAGCTTATTGCCAAGGTCCCACTAAACCCAGCTTGCGATAAACCCTACAAGTGACAAGAACTGAAACACACACACAAATTTAAATAAAACTGATGTTTTGTAAGATAAAACACTGGAATGCACCTTACATTTCTTAATACTGATTAAAAAAGCTTTCCTTTTAGGTTTTCAATTGTGTGAAATTATCTCACTTTTCTTTTTTCTTGTTGTCTATTCACCTGTCACGAAGTGTGAAGTTATATTATAAGTGTTACAGTTATACTTACACTTCTGAAATCCACTCATTTGCATGTCGATCTAAGATTTAGCTTAAGAGTACAAAAATTCCCACAAGATTTCAACACATGAATTTGCCACACTGACCAGCAGAAAACTGGTTGCTTTAAATTTAACTGTGAGACCCTTTCTTTACACATCAGTTTGTTTGTTAAAAAAAGAACTTCACCGAAGGATTACTAATTTGATCATCAGTGAACTTTTGGTGCTTTTGAAAGCTAAATGTCTATACTAAACTTGTCTTATCCAGTCTGAGCCTGAAAGGTCTTAAAGTTTAGAAAATGCAGAGTAAAACCCAGGAAACCACAACATCACACATGACTCAAATAAGCTCTGCACTTTATTCTTTAGTTTGTTGCAAAGCTGAATTAAAAACAAAAAGGCATGACATCAACCGTTTTTTTCTTTTAACTGCTTGCAAGGTGCTTTTTTTCGTCCTATACTGACAAAGAGGAAGTGTTTACGCATTTATGAGAAAACTGCTTTAAATCATTCAATAAAATCCCATGGCACTCACATTTGATTTATTACATATACAAAATATGGAATTCTTAAAATCTTTATTGCCATCGGTGCTTCAGTGGAGATCCCAGAACAATCATGAAGCATTTTCATCCCTCTAAAAGTTGTTTAAAATGCAAAAATCTTCTTTAGATTGAATGACACTGTTCTTCCTACTATGAAACAAAAGATTCTGTGAACTATTTAGTCTCAAAGATTCTTCTGGTGTCCATCTTTAAATGTACATTAGCTCATTATGTGCAAAAACAGCCTTTTCAAATGTTTTAAGTAATTACACTAGAGCAGTAAGTCCAAAAATGTAATAAATCACTGATTGATATTTTAGAAGTGTAAATATAAAGAAAAGTGTCACTTTGTGTTAAATTTACAACTTTTAAGGAAACAGAGCATGAGAGAACCTGTTATTGCAGTTTGTGGTTTCCATCATGTGACTTGCTAGGTTTTCTCTTCATTGCCCATCACTTGTGCACAGATGGCAAGCAGCACAGAGATGGCACACTCTGGAATTACAATGAGCTTGACAAGTGAATATGACTATGACTATCCAATAAATTCCACGGACGAGAATCCAATCTACACCCTTCCCGATGCTGAACTGCTGCCCATGTCTAACATCTACATTCCTGTGCTGTACATCATTATGTTCCTCACCGGCTCTTTGGGAAACCTGTTTGTGATTGTGGTCATTGGAAAGCGGCGCAAGAAAAGTGGACGCCTGGTGGACACCTTCGTGCTGAACCTGGCACTAGCCGACCTCGTGTTTGTTCTCACGCTGCCAATGTGGGCAATTTCGACCCGTTATGACGAGTGGCCCTTTGGTGAGGTGTTATGCAAGATTAGCAGCTTTATCATTGCGGTTAACCGCTTTTCCAACATCTTCTTCCTCACCTGCATGAGCGTGGACCGCTACCTGGCAGTGGTGCGCCTAATGGACTCTCGGTTTCTCCGCAGCAGCAATTGTGCACAAATAACCTGTGGCATCGTGTGGGTGGTTTCCTTCTTTCTAGGATCTCCATCTCTGGCGTACCGTCACTTGATCAACAATTCGGTGTGCTCTGAAGATTCCAAATCCTCTTTTGTTCAAGGAATGAATCTTCTGACTATATTGCTAACCTTCTTGCTCCCGGTACTCATTCTAGGCCTCTGTTATGGGTCGATTTTGGTCAACCTGCGACGTCACTGTCACAATCCTGCCAACACACGCACTGATGCCAGACGAAGGCATTCGGTTAAGATTGTGTTTGCTATCATTTCAGCCTTTCTGATCTCCTGGCTTCCATTCAACTGCTTCAAGGCCATCCATGTTGCGTTACTGATCATCAATGGAGATCTTAATGAGGACACCTATGTTGTCATACATAGAGGACTCATGCTCTCCTGCTGTTTGGCATTTCTTAACAGCTGCGTCAATCCGGCTATCTACTTCTTTCTCGATCAACATTTCAGACGCAGAGCTTCCATGTTGTGTCTGAGCTGTCTTAGTCAAAATGACCAAGCACACCAGAGTTACATCACCTCGAATTCTTACTCCAACGGCACATCTGAGACCTGCTCTGGAAATACATCAACCCGCGGGCGGCTTTTCTCACTTACTCAAAAGGCATGAAATCTGTTTCTCAATCTGTCTTTTTCCGACTGCCAACTTTCGCTTCTAATGAAACTTTAAAATTAAACAAGCATACCGTAGGTCATTTGCTATAACTAGATATCAAGTAATCATGTTGAGCATTTAGTATTAATTTTGTGCATTTCTGCATTGCATTTTTACATAGGAATCAATCCATTGGTGAACATATTATATAGTGGATAAGATTAAACTGCAAGTATTAGAAATATATATGCTTACATTCTGATAGTAGTCTTCAGTAATTCATAATTTGTGCATATTCAGAATACAACATTATTATGCAATTCCTATATCTAACTTTGCCTTCTTTTGTTTATTTTCAAATAATTAAATCTAACATATTTTTGTATTTACTTTTATATTTTTTCTATGCATTTTTCTATTTTATTTCCTACAATGTACTTTTGAGCATGTTAATTAGTGTACATGATAACATCAAAAAAGAATTACAAGCAATATACTGTACACATTTCAGCAGTATATTCGCAGGGTAATTATGTCACCTTTTATTTTGAATGTTATGAATTCAAAGACAACTTTTAAATAAATAATGTCTTTTTTGTAATCTTGTGTATGTTAAGAAATAAAAGCATTTCCGGTACTCAAAGTCTCACTTGTGTTTCTTAAAAATACTGTAGCAAACATTTAATAGTAAAATCATGTAAACTATAAGAAACAGTTTTGAGAAACATTGCATCCGCCTTTGTCTCTTATCAAAAGTAAAACTGCCTATCGTACTTTCAAGCCTTTTTTGTGTCCTTTTTCAAGCCCTTAAATATAATGGTAACACTTTACAATAAGGTTCATTAGTTAATGCATTTACTAACATGAACTAATCATGAACAGCACATGGACAGCATTTATTAATCCTAATTGAACATTTACTAATGCATTATTAACATTCAGGGTCATGCTTGTTAACATTAGTTAATGCACCATGAGTTAACATGAACTACCAATGAACTGCTGTAATTTCATTAACTAACGTTAACTAACATGAACAAATACAGTAGTAAATGTATTGTTCATTGTTTGTTCATGTTAGTAAATGCATTAATTAACATTAGCTAATGAACCTTATTGTAAAGTGTGACCAATATAATACACTTCGCAACACAAAAACTGAACAAATGTGCAACTGGTCTTAACGCAAAGGTTTCATTTGGAGAAATGTTCTCATAAGAAATGAGTGGGCTGCTTTATGACATGATAGTTCAATGGTTCACACTTGGTGATATGGCAAAGCAGTTCCCTTTTTAAATTAATCACAAAGGCTAAATGGTTCTCGCATGTACGGCTCAGAAGGCAACCTTAGGTCATGAATTTCATTTCATCAAAAAATTAGACAATGCTGCTTGTTGAGGTTCAAGACAAGATAAGGGGGAAATCCACACACACATAGACACAGTAAAAAAACTAAGAAAAACTATTTTATTGGCAGAAGACTATATGTACCGTATATATGTTAAAAGATATATACTACCGGTCAAAAGTTTGGAGTAAGATTTTTAAATGTTTTAAAATAAACTTATGCTGTTCACCAAGGCTTTGTTTATTAAAAATACAGTGCAAGTTGTAAAATTGTGAATTGTTATTGCCCTGCAAAATTATAGTTCAAAAGTAGAAAATAATTTCATTTAATAATTAATTCCAGTAATTTTAATGATTTTCAGCTTCAGATACACATGATCCTTCAGAAATCACTCTAATATTATTATTTTTGTTTGTTTGTTTTATCATTATTTTTTTAAATATTAAATAAATATTTCACATTTTTTATTTACATTGATTAATTACTGCCTTGATGAACAGAATAATTTTTCTTTCAAAAACATATGAAACAAAACTGATACCCAAAAATGTAAGGTTAATATTATTAGACCCTTACTAAATTATATTTTTCTATTGGTTACAAAACAAATTATTGTTGTCCAATGCCTAATTAACCAAATTTAAAATAATTAACCTAGTTAGGCCCTTAAATTGCACTTAATGTTGAATACTACTATTTTGCAAAACAACTAATAAAATATTGCATACGGTCATCATGGCAAAGACAACAGATACTATTATTTTGTTTAAAATGTCTTTTGAAATATTTTCTGTTAAACAGCACTTTAGACATATTTTACAGTATAATATCACAGGAAGCTATCTTATAGCTTTACTTTGTCAGACTGCTTTTTATTGTTTTGTTATTTTTAATTTACACCAGTTACATCCCCTCGAATTCTTACTCCAACGGCACTTCTGAGACCTGCTCTGAAATACATCGACGCGCTGGCTGCTTTTTTCACTTACTCAAAAGGCATGAAATCTGTTTCTCAATCTGTCTTTTTTCGAATGCAGACTTTCGGTGTCAATGAGACGTTACAAATGAAACAAGCATACATTTATACATATATGCTGTGGATGAAATATTGACAACAATTACGGTCGAAAACCTACAAAAACTAACAGATCTTACAGTCCTGTTAACTGGCACTAGTTTTGAAATTAGTGCACAAGTGCCAGTCTCTTTCATTTCAGAAATCAAGTGGAATGTTTCTGAAAGTTCAGAGGTTCATCGATTGTATTTTTTGGTACGGCACCTAGTTTTGAAACAAGTCATCAAATTTAGGTTACTTGAAATGTGCCCATTAACCCCAAAGATGTACATACACAAAAAATGATGCACTTTATTAATCAATAAATAGAATAAATGAAATGACCCCGGTTTAGTTACTTTACATGCTTTTATATTTCAGTGAACAAAAACGGATGCTACCTTGAACGACACATAAGAGTCACATATCTTTTCTAAGAAATGTTCAAAGACAAAAAATGGGTTGTGACCTATGCTTGACTTAAATCCTTACGGTGTTCAACTGCCCCTGCCAACCACAGTTTGAGTATCAACCCTGGGTGAGAATGTAAATACACAAACATTCTCATGAAACATTTCCCATTGTCATTTTGAAACCTGTTTTCTGTCCACAAATCTGACAACACAGGGCGGAATGATGGTGTTAGTAAAACTGAAAGTTTTTTTACAATTTTAGACTTTTCAAAACAAAAAGGAAGCTGACTTCCTGTCATTGAAGATGGTTTAAACATGAAAAAGGTTGAAACATTTACATGCTTGTGTTATTGTTTTAGAATATATATATATTGTAAATATATGTGTATATATATATATGTGTGTGTGTGTGTGTGTGTGTGTGTGTGTGTGTGTGTGTGTGTGTGTGTGTGTGTGTGTGTGTGTGCGTGTAAATATTCTAATATATCTATATATATTTATATATATATGTTGTTTATATTAAGTAGCACATAAGTGTAACTATCTATGAAACTTAAGTACTTATAAGTCACCTGTTCACACTTCTTTTGTGTTTGCCCACTTCACTTTTATGTATAATATGTGTCAAATCTAGTGACAGATAAGATCTGAAAATAAGAAAAAAAAAAAAAAGTTAAGTTGTTTGTTGCACTACTTGGGTCACGTGATGCTTTGTGGGTTATGTCTAGACAAAGGCATTAATTCATACCCGCAAACTGTATCTATATAGAAAATACATTTTCACACGTTTTCACATGCGATCACGTCGCTAAATTACTTTCTGTGGTTAATGTTATACTATATATATATACAACTGTGTGTGTGTGTGTGTGTGTGTGTGTGTGTGTGTGTGTGTGTGTGTATGTGTGTGTGTGTGTATGTGTCAGAGCTGTGAATCATAAGGTTAAATACTACTCTACCTATGACTCTCGGTGCTGAGCCAGAATCTGTGTGTCTGGTATGTTAGTCAGTTATTGAATGTTTACAATGTGTATCGAATAGAGTCTAGCTTTATAATAGGTTCATTCAACTGAAAAATACTTTTTTCCACTTAAGGGAAACTCAACATACTGAAAAAGCATTTAATGAAAGTATTGACAAAGCCTTCTCAATTGTAAAGAAATGTTACTTTTTATGTTTTGATTTTAAATGTGGGGTACATTTGAGTTTTTAGTGCAGTTTTTTGTAAAAAGTCATTAAAAAAATAAAAAAATCCGGTACAATGTAATCTAAAATATTAGCTAGTAAGCTTAAACAATATTAACTTGGACCATCTTTTATATTTATGAATTGAAAAATATCTTGGTATTAGATTTGTAAATATTATTTTGTATATTAATTTGTCATCTGAATCTCAAACAATGAACTCTGATAGAAGCCTTGCAGGTCGCTGCTGACATCTAGAGTTAGGTTTCTAGAAGGACTTTGTGTGCTTTTCCAAATTACAAAGTTATTAATCACAAGTTATTATTTATCTTATTATCATATGCCTGCAATAATGCTGTGACTTAAAGGTGTAGTTACAGTGCATTCGGAAAGTATTCATAGCGCTACACTTTTTACACATTTTTTATGTTACAGCCTTTTTCCAAAATGGATTAAATTCATTTATTTTCTCACAATTCTAAACATATATATATTTTTAAATTGTTGCAAATTTCTTAAAATAAAAATCCTGAAAAATCACATGTACATGAGTATTTACAGCCTTTGCTCAATACTTTGTTGATGCACCTTTGGCAGCAATTACAGCCTCAAGACTTTTTGAATATGATGCCACAAGCTTGGCACACCTGTCTTTGGCACACCTGTCTTTGGGAATTGTTGCCCATTCCTCTTCACAGTACCTCTCAAGCTCTATTAGGTTGGATGGGAAGTGATGGTGTAGCCATTTTCAGATGTCTCCAGAGATGATTAATAGGATTTAGGTCTGGCCCCTGGCTGGGCCACTCAAGGACATTCACAGAGTTGTTGTGAAGCCACTCCATTGATATTTTGGCAGTGTGCTTTGGGTCATTGTCCTGCTGGAAGATGAACCGTTCACTGTGCTCATTGGAACTTTCAGAGCAGCAGAAAATTTTCTGTAACCTTCCCCAGTCTTGTGCCTCGAGATAAACCTGTCTCGGAGGTCTACAGACAATTCCTTTGTCTTCATTCTTAAGTGTTGCGCCTAGAGAATGCCAATATATTGCAGCTCAAACTATCTCACTGATCCACCCTATGCTTTTATTTGGCCATGCAACAGTCCAGTTGGTACGATTCTTAGGGGCTTCTCCACACTCTCTCTGATGTGGGAAAGACAGTGAAGGTGGACTCATTAGAGAACAATACGTTTCACATTGTCCACAGCCCAACATTTTCATTGCTGGCACCAATGAAACCTACATTTGGAATTTGAAATCACAAAGGCTTGCTGTCTTGGTCACAGATGCACCAGCGAGACACGATCCAACACTCTAAAAAGGAATGTGTTGAAAACAACACAACATGTGTTATTTTCAACACATGTCCTGAGTGTGCTCAGGGACAACACATGTTGAGTTAAGTTTAACACACAAAATGTGTCATAAAATGTAACACATTAATGTGCAGCATAAGTTGACACACAGATGTGTTATTTTTGTATGTGTTTAACACAACTGTGTGTTACTATTCATTTTTTGTAATTTTAAATGTAAAAAATATTATAAATGTAAAATCAATATACAAAATCTCACAGGAAACATTAAACACTGTTCACATACTGTTTAATTTTCCCAAATGCATTCAAATGTTTTACAGCAATTCATTGTACATAATATAAAAACTCACTTTATAAAAGTATTCATTAAATTGAACTCGTATCTGTTACGCATGCCAATAAAATGTCAAATATGTATGAAACATATCCATTTTCAAAATTATTCTCTAGTGAAAGAAATTAATAACCATAGCACACTGATTATACATTCACCCACATGTAAGGTGCTTGTCTTAACAAAATAAATCATTGTCAAATCTAGTCAAAACACTTCAAACATTTAGGTAACCCTTTATAGTAACGACACAATATAAATTATTTATTAAGCATTAGCAAGTACAGTAGTTAATTCACTATTTGTTAAGCATTAAATCTACATTATAAGACATTAGTAATGGGTTTCTAAATACAGCTACAAAGGCTGTTTTCTTGACTTATAAGCACATTTATAATGTGCCTAACAATTGTACTTTTATAATTCATACTTTCAAATACAAATGGTTTGTAAATAACGCAGTCCTTAATTTAGTAGTGAAAAAATAATCAGAAGCAAAGTGTGAAGGTACAATTATTAAGCACATTAAACATTTACTTATAAGTCAAGAATACAGCATTTGTAAAACCGCTAATGTCTTATAATGTAGAGTTAACGCTTTACAAATTAATGAATTCACCATTTGCTAATGCTTAATAAATGATTTATAGTGTGTAGTTATTATAAAGTGTTACCAAAGTTTCAATCACTAACATGTTTAAAACAATATTTTGTATTTAGGAGATACATACTGCTGATCACAAAATGACAAAATGTCTAGAGGTCTGTAATCTATTAAGTCCCCAGGCAGCAAAGCAAAGAGAAAACGATTTGTTCTGATGACACTGAAGAAAAAAAATATGTTCATCAAAATACTTAACTCTTAAAACTCTCGTTCCCTGTGTGTCTTGACTCTTCAGAAGGGCATGAATTAATTTTAAAATGATCTGTTGAGATGTTTTAAAAAGGAATTTAAATTATGATATGTTCTAGGGCAACGATTTTGACTACAAATTAAAGTTAGGTTGTGACTATCAGAGAGTGCATGCATTTCCCTTAAATGCCAAATTACAAAATCATTTTAAAGACACTTTGGATAGGTGTACATGCTTATTTCAATTAGGTACAAGACTGCACCTTAGCAATTAATTCCATGACCTTTGATCGTGTGCAAGATGACTGGGACAAGGACAGGTCATATATATATATATATATATATATATATATATATATATATATATATATACATATATATATATATATATATATATATATATATATATATATATACTCAAAAAAAAAAAAAAACAGAAGACAGTTGGCATGAATACTGAAGATTGCACAGCCAGAAGAATTTGAAAAGTCTGTCTACAGCACAGGTCAGGCTTTCAGGATCGAGTGAAAGAGCAAAAGAGTCATTCTTTGCCACAGCTACAAGTACACGTACACGTACAAGGATCCATGTCCTAGACAACCAATAGAAACCAACTGCGGCTGAGCTGACTTCAGGGTCCCTTTCATGGATTCAGTGAGCAAAGATGTAACGGTGGTACCAGCCTTCAGGAATGAAACAATAAAAAGCATAAGAAAATGTTGCTGCATTAGAAACATTTTATTTATCATAAGCTAAACCAATAAAAACTATACCGGCAATTGCTCCAACAGGTAGGACACAGCAGAAGTCACACAGCATTTACTCCCAGCAACACTTCTCCCAGAGGCAGTGGGTGGAAGAAGATGAATAAGGATCTTTAACAGTTTAACAGCTCATCTTGAAGTGAAGATACAGGTCACATGCAAAATAAGAATTTAAACAAAATATATTAGAAATTAATATCTTTAATAGAATATTAATATTCACATTAAGTTTTATCTTTTAAACTATTTTTAGAAAAGTGTGCACATGCAACAGATATTTTGGCTGAAACTCATACCATCATGCTGATTGTCAGCCATCTTCAGTAAGAGTCTGATGTCAATTTTCTTCTCCAAGATGCTATTTCTTTGAGTTCTGGAATTATCGTCCCTTCCCTTTTCTGGATAAACAAGTCTTCGTTCCTATCTGTGAGCTTGGAAAATTCAATGTCCATCTTTAAAGAAAGAAAGAAATCAGAAACAAAGAAATATTAATATTACAATTATGAAATAAATGTCTGTGTAAAGTTCTGTCTTAGTTGAGCATGTCTATTACCAAAGCTGGCATGTCAAGAAATCTGGGATAGTCCTTGAAGATTTCAGCAAGAGATTTTGAAGGGATTTTGTTGTTATCCATCTTCTTCTGTAACTGAAGTTTTGATTGATTGCAGTCTTTATTGATGATAAATTGTCTGGTCGCATCTTCTTTATCAGAGACAACAACTCACTTGGTACGGTTTCATCTGGACTTGGTGAAGAAGGTTGCGGTGTACAATGATGATGTTTTAAACTGTACACCCACTGGCTCTGTTGAAGCTTCCGTCCGACTGTGTGATGGCCTAGCAAAAAAAAAAAAAAATCCTCCTGAGATTAGTAATGTAAAAACAGAACTAATGAAAGTCAAATAAATGAGCAACTTATATACACATTCCTAATAAATTCAGTTTATAATTTAAAAACATTCTTACATTCTCATGTCCCTCATTTTCACCAAAGGGCACCTGAGGGGAACAATGACAGAATCTCTTTTGCTAGTACCAGCTTTTCTATACCAGAAGGATAGCTAAAAAAGTAAAAAAAAAAATACAGTTGCATAAATTGCTTATACACAAACATTGACAAACAAAAAATTGACTAAACAGTGGTACTTCAGAATTGATTGGCATAAATTGTTAAATGTATTTATTTGAAATATTTTTTAAATGTAGAATTTATTTTAATATATAACTTATTTAAATAAATGTAATTTATTTAATTTGCAAATAAATACATCTTACATGAAATAAACAAACCACATACTCACAATCCATGTTTCTCTACAAGGACACTGACAGCAACTTTTTGACAGTCTTCATGTTCTCTCAGGATTGAAGAGGCTTTTCTTCAAGCAGCGTCAGCAAACTAGTTGTGTTGCCAGTCTGAGTTGAATCTGTTAAAGGACACTAAGAAATGCCAAAACATTTTATTTATTTAAATGTTTACGTTTATCTATAGTAATATAAAGGGAGAAATATATAAATGTTTTACCTGTAATGAGTGCACACTTCTTTCTAATGAGTCCGGGGTATTGCTTGCAATATAATATATTTGAAATTTGCCAAGCTCCTTTACTCCTGCATTTACATCAGTGTCAATGAACTTGAAAATCTGTCAAATTTCAATATTCAATCAAAAGATAGTTGAGACCTGTTTGACTAAGGCTATCAGATCTCCAACATTGCCATCTGTGAATAGTTTTCTCCATATTTCCTTTCTGTCTATGAAGACAGTTGCAAGAACGCGGTGTAGAAGTGTTAAGAGTGACTGTAATTTGTTCCTCGACTTCCATCTCCTAAGAGAGAAATTCATACAGCACAATGAGAAAACAAACACCTGTAACTGTGTATGACAATAAAAAGTACACTTTTAAATAGTATGCGACTAGTAGGGTACCACAAAATGGCGCGCAAAATTGAGTACATTAAAGATCTTCATATTTTAGCTATTGTTTATGAATTTGCTCACACCTCGGCGCCAATTGGTGTCTGTACAAAGCACCCAACTAACGTTACGACAAGGGATTTATGTTTAAATTCCTGCCGCAGAGCTTCATATAAGGTTATATATTAAATAACCTTATGATAATAACGTAACGTTAAATGCATAAATTATATCTGGTAGCGTTACCTCGAGTGTCAGAGACGCAGAGGCTTTTTAAAGTGACGGCAACTCTTACACCAAAATGCAGTACATATTTAGGGTAAGTCTTTCGCCTTATATGTAACTTATTATTAACAATTCTGCCAAGTGCCAACGCAGCTTTACAAAAGACGCGCCAGATGCGTTAGCTTGCGCGGCTAAAGTTAATGTTACATGACAGAGTTGCCAAGTCCCGTGTATCAGGAGTACGAAACATGAAAACATAATAAAAGTAACAAAAATAACTTCTTGGACAACAAACACAAAACATTCTCACGCAGAGTGGAAGAAATATTTACTATCGTAGACGAATTTTAATGAATTTCACTCACCTGAGGCAGAGAGGTGCGTTATCCGATAGAGCTCTGGGAGAGCGTCAGTTGAAAAAGAACGTCACTGCGCATGCGCGTGCAGAAATTCACAGTATAAACCCCGAAATATAGAATTTTTAGCCACATACTCACAAATGCTTATTTTATATTACCATCATGATAAATAAACTACATAAACTCATAACACAGTGCCATTTGACTACAGGCAAAAATGCATTGTATTCCAACATACTGTTTAAATGTGTTTAACACAGTCATTGTGTAAACAGTTAAGCACAATATTAACACACAATGTGTCCAAAGTTACACAAAATGTGTTACGACCTGTTTAACACATATTTTGTGTAAATTTTTAACACATCACTTTTAAGAGTGAACTATTCTCATTTGAACTCTGATATGTCACCCATACTTTTGTGTGAATTGCAATTGTTTAAAGCAAAACTGTGCTATTATTCTGCAAATTAAACTTTCACACTCTTATCTTACTTGTGGAATGTCCGATCAATGAAGATTGGTCAATAGGTTGGTCGAATTTAGCCATGAAACATCCAACACTAAATTGGTCAGTGTTTCAGTTTCATTGTCCTACTCCTGTATACATGTGTGTGTGTGTGTGTGTGTGTGTGTGTGTGTGTGTGTGTGTGTGTGTGTGTGTGTGTGTGTGTGCGCGCGCGCGCGCATGTGATAGATGTTGGCCAAATATCATGTAATATTGTAATAAACAGCCAAAAATATACAATATAATATAAAATATATGTACATGAATAACCTATAAAAAATAAAGCTAAAGCTAACGGAATTCACATCTTTAGTAACCTTTTATTAGACCCTAACCTTTCATTAGACCCTAACTAACTTACAAGAACTTTGCTAAGTTACCCACTTTAATTGATTTACTTTCTGTATTTGGCTTGTGAATTTAAAAAATAGACCTACTGATATGGAATGTTATTCTGTTTAATCAAATCGAGTTGGCTAAACCTTTCTCTCTTTACTCCAGTGACTTACGCATGAGCATTTACTGTGAGACAGTCTCCCTTTCAAGGTGAAGCTTTTCATATGTTAATAAAAGCCACCAGCACCCTGCAGTCCCATAATGCCACATTACTCTCTATGTTCTCTGTTTCAAAAGATTCGTCTGCACGCAGCTCAACGGCTCTTTTACAGAAAAGGAAAACAAAACCCCTGTTTCCTATCCAACGCTGTGTCGACGTACCATTCGCAAACATTTTATTCAGGTCATTGATATAACAGGATATAACTGTTTGGGCTGCACCATTGCATGTATTTAGTCTAACGATGTCCACTTCGTGACCAAATCATTTGAGTCGATTCACTAAATGGACTCCCTCAGCACCTGACTAATAAATTAGTCTGTAAGGATTGGTCATTTTTAGTTTTTTAGAATTGATGATGCATTCAGTGTTTTCAGAACACACACACAAAAAGATAACTTGATTCAAACATTTTCGGGTGGAAAAGGAAATAAAAAATAGGCTACTTTTTTTAGAAATGTCAAACTAGACTGGAAAACTAATTTCACATGGCAAACGTTTGCCAGGCACTGCGCCCAAAATTCTTAGAGAAAGTTTTATTTAACCTATTTATTTAATTAAAAATATTTTTATATTAAATATGTTTATTATTTATTTTTAGACTCTTGACTTAAATATAAAACACCACTTTTTCAGGGAATGCCATTGATTTTGTACTTTTAGTAGTTTTAGAGCAAATTGTGAGAAAAATGTTAACATATTTAAATTTGAAAATAGTATAAGCATTTTTCACAACATTTTTCACAACAATGAATTGTGACAAGAGTTGAATATTAGACACCAAACTCAATTTAAGATTTTAAGTTTGACATGCTCAAAATGTGGTTAGCAGGTTATAAATGGCTTATAACTCTATCACACCTATAGGTAGGCTACCACTAAACCTAATACATGTAAAAACCATTATACAATTTTTCATCCATTCGTTTTCTTTTCGGCTTAGTCCACTTTAAGGGGTCGCCACAGTGGAATGAACCCTCAACTTATCCAGCATGTGTTTTACATAGCGGATGCACTTCCAGCCACAACCCAGCACTGTGAAACACCCATACACTGTTGTATTCACACCATTCACACACGCGCCATATTTAGGCCAATTTAGCTTATTCAATTCACCTATACCGCATTGGACTGGGGGAAACCGGAGCATCCGGAGGAAACCCATGTCAACACAGGATGAACATGCAAACTCCACACAGAAATGCCAACTGACCCAGCCTTGGCTCGAACAAGCGACCTTCTTGCTGTGAAGCGACAGCACTGCGCCACCGTGTCGCCTCCATTTCTTTATATCAAATATATTACATCATCTTCACTGAAATAGAAAAACTTTAGCCTATGACCGCCACGCAAGCAGCAGGTTTTACAGGCTATGGTTAAACTATGTTGTAGTTGCTGTATCATTGTAGAACCGACTCTTTGAAAAGAGTTGTTCAAAAGAATGAACTCTCGCAGTCGAGCTTCCCACCATCACTAGTTCAGTCAGCGCTGTGGAAAAAAGTTTCTGATGGGGAGAGGGACGTACCATTGTTATATAGGGAGGTTTGCTTTTCAGTTATCCTAGGAGTACTGTCGTAAAACATAGATCTATGATATATCACATGTCGTCATAAGCGTCGTGCAGACTTTGCTACATCACTGATTTTTTTTTTTACATGTTTTACTTCTATTGTCGGAGCCATGAGCAAGAATCTAAGTGTAAAGCAGACCCTTTAGTTCGCGTTGCTTAGAATAGTCCATTCTTCAGTCTCGCTTACATCAATTTGGAATGCGGCGCTGGAGAAAGCGTGGATAAATAATATCCCATGATAATGCGCTGCGTGGAGTTTTGACGACCCTGCAGTGGTTTTGCTGTTATGACGACAAAAGGTATGGTGATATTTTCCTCAATCGATAATACATATACATAACCTGAACTAATACACAGCACCAGATGAAAATTGAGCGTATAACTTACAGCACTGCTACTGCAGCCAAAAGTTTTGCAACCATTGAAACCTCTCTTAAATTATTAAAACTAGATTACGAATAATATTTTAAAGTTTACGTAGTTTTAAAAGTTGCGATAAAGCTGGACATAGTAACCCGAAATTCTCCTGTTGAAATTATTTTAAAAAAATATTGGGATTTTGTAACAATTACTAAACCAGACTTCACATTAAAAGCATTATAGTTTTTAACATGTTTTAAGTAATGGTTTAGTATGTTAAGTAATGGTTACGTATACCATGCAAAAAAAAAAAAAACTTTTTAGGGATAATTGGTGTGTGTAATGTGTTAAAGATTAGCTTTAGAAGTTTAATATGAATCCAATTTGGCAAACCTGCAAGTGAAGTTGTATTTGCCCTTTTACGCTTCTTGCATCTAAATTAGTGACTAAGAAAATCTAACTTTATACTCTAAAACCCATAAAATCGAGTATAAATCATTATGATGTAAAATAAATAGGAACAAAGATATTGTTACACTTATGAAAGCATTTTTTCAAAGTAAAATTAGTCATCAGCATCGCTTTTGATTGTTGATTACATGGAAGTATAAGTGCATAAATAGAGAACTTACAAAGCTTTGATGAAGAAAAAAAAACGTGCAGGTAATTCAACTGCAGCGTGAGAATCAGATGCTTATATTGTTTCATTGTCTAAAGGTGGATATTATTTTACACTCCATTCATTTATTCAGCTGGGAACACTAACTTCCTCAATTGGGGTTTGGTTTGATGTATAAGGCACATGATCTAATGTCAGTTTGTCTTAAAAAGAGCACAAAAACAACTACTTGAGCTCTTAATCAAATAAAGTGGAAGTCTCATTACTTTATTCAGTTGCCCTTCTTACAAAAGGAACAGCATTCCTTGTCTAATGCTGTGGAATCCAGTGATCAGTGTGACTCAGAGCATCAAGGGTGATTTGAGTGGGCCGGCATCTGAGGGAGGTGTGTAGACCACTGAAACGTGAATAGCCCTGGAATCTGCGGCTTTGTTGGTTCATAGCCAGGGTCGGCCAAACTGGAGCCAAGCAGCGTGTGTGTATTGTTTGCTGCCAACAGCTCAGTTTTAAGATTCTCATTAGCACCTCTGGATGTGGCCTAATACAATGACAGCCGCTGGAATGATGTTTCTATTTCATCCACTTGTGTGGCAGAACATTTTAGTAGATTTGACTGGCTAAATCTGTTGGTTTGTTGTAATGGGTTGTTTTGAAACTCTTCAGAATACTATCTTGGCTCATTTTTTAGCAAAAGTGATCTCTGTGTCTTCCTATCAATGCTAAATATGTTAATGTAGGTCGCTTGAGTGATACAAGTCAAAACAGTCACTTTAGACATGTCAATGAGAGGCTTATGATCAACTTCCTTTCTAATTTACAAATGAATCCAACAAGCTTCCTGTTCTGTGGTAAATTTTAACATATTTCAACTGTTTTACACCTGAGAAATGAATCAGATAGTCTACACTGCAATACTTTTACACATGCAATCACATGTAAAATATCTGTCTGCTATTCTGTGGAATGACATAAAGACTAAACAGGAAGAGACTAAAGCCATATGTAACCACAGCACACTGATTTCAAAGAAACGTTGCAGTTCCTCTTGGATGAAGATAAAATGATTAAAGCAGATATTGTTTCTCTTAGTAATAGATAAAAGGACTTCAACGCACATTTGTCAACAGTAATATTTTACTGTGGACAAGTGGACATGCAGAAAACAATGTCAAATTAAATTAAGGCCCTGTGAAATTAGATTTTCTCATTTTTGCATGTCTGATTTTTTCCCCCAGACTCTTATTTGAATTTTTATGAAATTCATCCTATCATTTAATTCAATTTTATCTATTGAAAAACTTACAGGTATATAATAGGAGCGATATAAATTATATTTTATTTTCAGACACAATTTTAAAAAATTTAATGAAACCTTTATCTTGACATTGTCATAGAAATGAATATAAAAATATATATAAAATATGGGCAAACAGAACTTTAAAGGCGCAGTATGTAAGTTTGACAACCAGTGGTTGAACTAGGTGTTGCATTCCTGCATCAAAACAAACGCAAGCGCAGGTTGCCAGACTTACGAATATTTTCCATATTAAATTGAGTTTTTGTTCTAACCAACACCTCAAATTTATATATTTGAAATAGCTTTTATTTCTAGCAGCTGAACAAGAGAAAACTGACAATGATCACCTCAGGTACACCTCATGTGCGTTATTCAGTGTTAAATGCTAACAGTGTGAGTTTGAATG